GTAATAAACCGTGAAAAATCACCGTAAACTAACTTGAAACCGTGTGGAACAGTTCGTAAACCGTCAGAGAACCGTCCAAGTGTCATTTAAACCAGGTTAAACACTCTTCAGGAACGTTACACCGTTTACTGACTAACTAATATTTCAGTCTTTCGCCATTGTTTCGTATTATGTCAGCAATGCGACCGTTCATAGACTGTATTGTTTTATCAATCACGCCCTGAGAAATGCTACAAATTGTCCTTTCTACCCTATCACAGAACTCGTCATATGATTCGCGAGTAATGCCTTGTTGAAGAGCGTCTTTTTCTAACTTCCTGGAGGCAAGGTTAAAAATGTTCTCAATAGGGTTTAAGTCTGGACTTCGCGGCGGTATTTTTAAAAGTTCCGAATGACAACGACCCATAGCCTCGCGTGCTGCTTTGCTGTTTTGACAGGGATCACCATCTTGTAGCCAGAGCCGACTCGATCCTTTGCCGGATTGCACGAACATGGTGTTGAAATTCTGGTCAATAAAAGATGAGAAATAGTTTGCGTCCATTTTTTCGTATCTGTCACAGACTAAAACTCCTTTTCCGTGACTTATTGCAACCATGAACTTGGCAACTTTTCCTCGCGTTCCAACTTTTCTTCCTTTAGCTAGGCACCCCTGTGTAAGACCTTCGGATTTTTTTCTCCACACTCTTCCTTTGGGGGCGCGGGCCTGGTCCATGGGGTTTGTCTTGTATACAAACGAGACGCCATCCAAGTAAAAAGCGATAGAATCTTTCCATACATTCAGAGGGTAATCTGCTTGCATCTTTCTAGCAAATGTGACTCTCATGTCTTTGTCCGATTGGCTCATGAGTCCCTTTTTGCGTGCCTGCAGAAAGAAGTAACCATTTCTGTTTAGAAGACGTCTAACAGTTCGATCAGAAACGTGACGAATTCCTGTCCGTTCCATCAGACGCCGAGACGAAAAGGAGCCCTCTCGGTCTCTCAACTCTTCAATGCTTCCGAGAATCAATGCCTCTTGTTCGGGGGAAATTTTTTTCCTTCGGCCACAAAAATGTCTCCTGTGTTCAGGCAGTCTTCCCTCTGCACTTGTTAGTCGGTGTACACTTGTCCTGGAAACCTTGCAGCGCTGAGCAATTTCTTCTAGCGTGAGATCTTTAGTAGCCTTAAGGGCTCTAATTGTAGCCTTAGTTTCCTCGGGTATTCTTTTTCTAGATGGCATGTTTAAAGTGTTTTACGACGATAAAGAATATCTCTTCTCACCTCTTATAATTATTGGGAAAGTTAAACTACGCATTATATATGCTCTGTGTTACCGAGAATATCTCTTTTGTAATGCCTAAACTTAGACCCGGGATGGACCAGTGACGCGCGTGACTGCGTCAGAAACCAGTGTTTTCTAACGTTAAGTGCGTTGAAAGATGTCTCACTAATTAGGAGTGACCACTATTTCGTGACCTAGACACCTTCGAGACAATCTTGGACAAAATAAATGGAAAACCTAGACCCCCCCTCCCCCCAAATCAAGGATGGAAAAATGGCGCGTTTTTGCCCTTCGCGCGGCTTCATCCTTGATTTGGGGGGGATGGGGGTTTGCTGTTCCATTTTATTTTGTCCAAGATTGAAGGTTCGCTTTTTATGACAGCAAATGCTTTTGGAATTGCACGTTATAGAGTTTCTGTGATTGTACGTAAGTCTTTGATGTCATTGCCAGGGTTTTGGGACCAAAATACATAAAACTCCCGTCAACCGAGCAGCAAATGAAAGATATTGTGAAAGTCATGGAAGATAAATATGGATTTCCACAAGCGTTTGGATGTGTTGATGGAACCCATATTGCAATAAATCAACCCACTGAAAATCCTCACGACTACTTTAGCTATAAACAAAAGTATACATTGAATGTACTAGCAGTATGTGACTGGAGAGGGTTGTTTATTGACATTGAAGTGAAATGGCCAGGCAGTGTACATGATGGACAGGTTTTTGCAAATTCCGGGTAATTTTGGCACTTTAGAATTATTGTTTATTAATTATCTCTAAAAAAAAAGGACGGTTAGCCCGAATCATCTTTTTGGATTCCAATAGCCATTGCTAAGATCTGCTTTTCTGGCATAGTCATAAACTATGCAAAAATGCCCCTAGGCACTACCCTTAATGTGAATTTTTTAATTTTATTCAATAATAGAATTTATCACAATACAATTTATCATAATTTATTAAAAATAATACAAAAAATGATCAATATAATACTGCATTGTCCCAGAAAATATCCCTTGCCTCCACAAAGGTTTTTTCGGTTAGAACTTTCCCTCTGAAAGCCCTTTGGATGTTCCTGTTTACCTTCATACTTTCTGGGAAATCTAATGACCTCCTGTGGTGTGGGTATGAATATTTTCTGGAACTGCATGTTGACCATGATTTAATAGAAGTTTATGTAAACCTGGATATTGCTACAATTTGAAATAAAACATTAAAATCTTTTCTTTTGGTTAGACATAACATC